AAGTATTAAGTAATTAATTGATTATATGCATGTTTTTCAAATGATTAATCAAATTATTTCACAGAATTTTGTTTATTCAAATGTTTCAAGTAAACCCGTTTAGTTCTATAGTTTTTATTGCCGACTGATATCATCTGAAGGAACTCGATGGAATTTTTAAATCAAGGCCTAAACCTATGCAATCAAAGCGAATATCAAGTGTGTTTATGGGTGAAAAGCTAGACTACAACGAAATAATGATGATTATTAGATTCTACTAAGTTGGAAATATCGACCATCCGCTTATCAACTAGTAACTCGAAAACTTATTATGTTTTTCAATAAGCCTGAAGTTCCTAGAGTTTATCTTGTGTGACGTCTTGTGCTCGCAAAGTTATGAGACACAAAAATGGTACACGATAAACAGCCGAAACTTTAAAATGATCTTGTTTTAGTGAGTTGTTAATGTCTTAGGTGTGAATAATGACTAAAGTTATAAAAATAACTTAATACATGAGAATCAACTAAAAACAAGCACTTGCTGGGTCTTGGTCTCAGTTTAATCAGACAATACAGGATTCACTACTGAAAATATGTAATAAATGAATTTCTATGATTTGAAAATACAACATGAGTAAGGATCAGTCAGTTACAAGTCCATGTTTATTATTTGTTAAAGGCAGCTAAAAAATCCTTGTAAACCTGGGAACATTAGAAATATTTCGTCCGAGTTCGTGACTAAGCACCAATTTACTAAAAATCAATATAAAAGTAATTGCACTATCAAACTTGAGGAATATCGACCCCCGAGTTCCAAATGGATGATCTAAAAATGTAAGCAGTCTTTGTGAGGACCAATGGTCCTGGATCAAATATTTAACAGGATCGTGTATACGTACTGTTAAGAGCCCTTGGTGATTTATTTTAGTCAGTAAACGTCCTCCATTTTTCCACTCCAGTAGCGGGAAGCCTGAATATCAAAATCAAACTCAAACATCACATATTACAACATTTTTCTATCGACATCTCTCGATAACTGAGATCACATGGAAAATATGAGCATTTAAGAAATGTCTAACTGAAATATAAAAAAACGATTGATTTCAGTTTTCTTATCATGAAAATACGATCACCAAATTTTTTTAAGAATTTTAGTTGATATAACCTTTAGATCACAAATAAAACTGCAGATATAGTTGTTGGATAGAGGTTAAGCTTAAAAGTCTGGCCTTTCTTGATACTTCTTATTTTCTGTTCCTTTTTCCCTTTTTCTATTCATAATAAAAATGTTATGTAGATAGCTTAAACAATTTTGAGTGAAATGAACTACTTCATCTCCTCACTTATAATCTTCACAATATTGCTTGTAATGTATGTGTTTATAGTAATCACTGAAACTCATATATCTAATGTGAAGATGCTCTTTGCTCTAGCTGGTGTTATATTTTGCAGATAGAATATGCCATCCCTCCAAATTCTCTGGTACGGCCGAGAGTAGGGAGAGTCAACTCTCCCTCTCGAAATGCTCTCATATGGCCACGTGCATACAACTACTGTTAGGAAAGTCCCGCTCATCGCCTTCTCACAGCATTACTGTTGTTTAACAAAATTGAGAGGACGTAAAGTGAATGTCTGACACTTCCACCGGGTTCGTGGATATGGAGAATCTCCCTAGGCGAGTTGGCAAACCCTGCTTACAAACCAATGATGAACATGATCTCCAGTGTTCTGAGGGAACAAATGGTGTGTGAACCTATTGTTGGTTACCGACTACCATGAGACTACATCTGCTGACGTTGCTCAATTGCCTTATGGATTAGATGTTGAGGTCAAAAGCTCTGTGTGTGGCCGCGTAAGAAAACCACGTGGTTCGGTTTTTGCACTCGTTCAGTATCCCAGCCCATATATAAATCGAATGATTTTTGTGGCGCGTATCTGTTTGATGCTTCCTTGTACGAATGTTTATGTGTTGATATAAATAAATAATAAATCTGCCATACTGTGATATATGCATCGAAATCAAATAATATTTATAGATTTCTTGGAAAAGTTAAATACTTTGTAAAACGTCTTTCTTTTTCTACTGTACATCTGTAAATTCAGATATAAAGGAACTACAGTTTTCTAATGAGGATAAAAAGAAAAGTTACAGTTGTGACCTAACCACAGATACATCCACATCCTCCAAATCGGATAGTAATACATCTTCAACAATAAATGTAAATAATATATCCCCATTGCCTTCCTCATCGTCAACCTCATCAGTCATAACAATATCAACTACAAGTACAAATACTCGAATAAAAAATCAAAATGTATTGAATAATTCAACAACCTTTGGTTCACGTAATCGAAGACAAGATTGGTGTAAATGGCCTATTTGTATTCAGTACCGAACAACTGGTTATTGTCTAGGATATAATCCTAATGGTACATTACCAGCATCATCACAAATGTGTCAAGCTGCTCATATTGGTCCAAATGATCAAGTACCTTTATCATCAGATGGTCAAGTTAGGGTTTGCTTTGATTCGATGGGATTAGTAAATGTGAGAAGACAAATTATTTTTCATAAACCACTGTGAAATTCCTCAGCATGGTTTTAATTGTCATTCATTAATATCTTGATATAAACTTAGATAATCTAAGAACTAATATCGGACAATATATGCTGTAATTCGTCGAGGTATTGCAAATTACTGTCACTGATAACAGAGGTTTGTTAACAAACATAATCAAAATGACTGAGAATATTATATTTACTTCAAGATAATAATGTACATTCGAACATTTGGGTTATGATTCCGGACCTAAAGCACCTCTCACTATTAAGTTTAATTTCTTTCCACCATCAAAGAAAGTATCAAACAAAACATTCAGACTCTAAATATTGTCACTTACATAAAAATGGAATTTTTAACTACATAACACAGATGACAGATAGCTCATAAACCAACAGTTTATTTGATTAGATCTCCATTACAAATAACTTTCCTTTACTAAAGTAGGGTAAATACCCTGAACATTCTGGTCTCTACATCTGAAAGCCCTGAGTTCAACGTTTGATATAATCATGAGCATGCACTAGTGAGAAGCAAACAACTGGGAATAAACAATTAGGAAGCGTCCCCTGTACCCTCATGGTTATGTAACTGGAGTCAGTCAGTAACGAAAACGGCCTCAATATTGGATAGTTATAGTACAGATAGATGTTGCAAAGGTTTTTAAGCTCTATAAGAAGGTCCCGTAGTTTTGTGCTTCAAAAGTTGTTTGGAAACCTTTCTATAACTCGTTTCTTTAGAATCGATAAAGAAAATAATTTAGGTAATTACAAGTCGCTCCAAAGATCCGGATTAACTATACTTATTTGAAAGTGATAGTAGGCATAAATAAGGCATGTTTGCGATCCACAGAATTCCATTTTACTTTAACCTAACATTTCATGATTGATGTAAAATCATAACGTCCTGTGAAAAAAAAGATTCCTAGTTGTTCAAACCAAAGAAAGTGTGACAGATTCACTTCAACATGTACAACAACAATAACAACAACAACAACTACTACTACTACTAGTTCTACCACTGCTACCATTGACCTATTGGGAATCGTCAGCACGGTTTACAAAATCTGAACCATTCTTTATGATGATGCTTCTAGCGGCCCAGAAGCTCTTTTCATGTCGAAATTAGTGTTTCTTTCATCTCTTCCCAGTTGTCCTTCATAGTAACTTTTTCATTGAGTAGACCTTATAGGGGGTAATATGTTGTTGAAGGCCATCTCGTATTCGTTGAGTTTGTCAGAATCTCGAAAAGGACCTGTACTGATCCTCTGTAATGCAGTTTTTCCAGTTGTCCAGTGCTTTCTTGGTTTGGGTTTAGTGTTGACAACTTCCAGGCTGTGATCCGAAGCTACGTCGACAATTCCTCCCCTGGCTCTCACGTCTTCCAGTGACCTTCTGAACACCTTGTTGATGCAAATATGTTATATGTGATTGTCTGTGTTTTGATCCGGTGATAACTGTGGATCCATGAGATTCCTATCCTATGAGTGATCTAAGTGCTTCTTTGGACAGCATCAATCCAACTGTCTGAGTGTGTGAAGCATATTCTTCTTCATGACTAGAGTCCAATCTTTTCTATCCAGGTTTAGTCCAATGGATTTCACTTATTCCGAGAACCACCGACTTGCGTTTCCTAATTTCTGAAGCCAATTTGTTTGTCGTCTGCTTTCAATATCTATGAGATGGAATTTAACTTCTGCTTAGTGCTTCATAATAGAATCTATGTAATCTTATGGTTTGTTAAAGAGAACCACCAATTTGTATCTCCTCATTTCCTTAGATATTTGATTTGTTCTCCCCGTCTCTTATATTTTTCTGACATTCCATGTACCCATATTGTAGTGAACATGAACACCAGTGGGGACAATCGGATGTATTTGAGCACAAAATTACAGAGCATCTCAATCAAATCTGAGAAACATATAGTAAGTGCTTAATTTGCAAAATGTCCATCACTTGTCTTAAAATGACTCAGATTTCATTATTCTTGAAGACTCATAAAATTACTTTCTGTTTCCATTCTTTACTGTTCGATCCTCTTGTCTCTCTGCTGCTAGACATTCTGTTCCTGACTAACGTCATATACTACTTATATCGATATAAGTAGCACACGCCACAATATTAATTGTTGCTCTGGTTTTTAGATTGGCCATCGACCTCGTGACTTCTGATGAATCTGAGATGTCACCATGAGTCGTCATAATTCTTTCTTCAAATTCTAGGACAGAGTTGAAATAGTCTAAACTGTTTTTTTCTGGTAAGCGTCATTGTAATATGGTTATTTTGTACAGAATGTGGGTTTTGAACCCATGCCCAACCCTATTTTATTTACACGTGTTTGATCCCTGCAGTAATTATAGATGGATTACAGACGGATTTGAATTCAACACTGAACTATCTTGACTGTGATTGCACATGTCCAATTCTATCTATAAGGTTTATTTTCTTTTTTATAATTTAGCTTACTTGTAATCGATCTGATTGCTATTTTTATCATCCACCGAAACTAATCAGAGATAAAATTGTCGCTAAACGACACGCACAATATCTTCGTGAAAAAGTAATTCGTGACGCTTCGAAATCTCGTAAACTTAATGGTCTATTAACGTTTGAGCAAAACATAAATGCTGGTAATAATATTACAAGGATTTCGCAAAATAAACTGACAACAAATAAATCTTGTAATCAATCAGTAGTTCCTCAGGAGTTAATTAGAATAACGGATATTCATTCATCATCATCAGTTATTAACAGAGATAATTTACATAATTTTTTACATGACTGCCATGCTGATTCCATACAGTTGACAAATCCAACTCACCATCTTCTACAACAACACTCACTCCCATCCTCATCACTTCCACTACATCAATCATCACAGCTAAATCAACAAACAAATTTCAATCCATTCATTCAATGTGGTACAACAAATCAGTCAAATTCCCATCTAAACCCCAACAGTATTTCTTCATACTTATCAAATATTTTGTTGAGTAATTTACTTTACATCCCACCATCTAGTATTAATTCAAGTTTATTCCTACCTAATCCTCGTCCAGTCCTAACAAATACAACAAAATCTCAATTTCCCGATATAAATCTGTTCTGTACACCAAATCAAATTGATTACGAAAAGTTGTGCAATCTAATTTTCTTAAATTCTACACCGTTAACACAGCCAATTTATTCGTCGAATTTAGTGAGTTTGAATGAACACTTTCAGTTATTGTTGTTAGTAAATCAATAGGTTGAGGTTCATTAAGAAATCAATGTAATTCTGACATACTTACTTAGCACTGGAGCCAGGGTGGTCACAAATGCTCTGGCCTTATGCAGAGGTTCACCAATGCACTCCAGTGTGTTGAAGCCTGCGACGACTCCTAGTCGTGCTCGCTCAGACGCTAGCCACTATCCATCTTCGCTTAAAAAGCTTGTGAATTCAGGCTATATCGAGACAATCTGCACAGAATGCACATATACAAACAAAAGACTGATCAATTTCAGTCCTAAATAACAAAGGGAAGATACAAGTAAAACAAAACCAAGAGAATTTTGCATATACATAGTTTCATTTTACTAGTTCATAAATGATAAGATCAATAATTTTAGTAGAATAACATATTCATTTCATTTTGTAACGTTCTCATCACCTGCTATGAATGAGGTTCTAGATGCTTTTGAGTATGAGTGAAGTTGGTCGGATCTTAATGTAAGCATATTTGTATAATATAGAAAATATTTGAATATTATTCATATACAATAAATTCTGTTTCAAATAAATATCATATGGAAAAGATAGATATCAAAGTAATAAAACTAGGTAGTTACACAGTTAAATAAATGAATATGAGTAAATAACACCTACAAACAAAATGGAGTTCGACCGGGTCTCTTGTGAGATATTAACTCACTGATGACAATGGTGGATGTGTCGCTCAATTTCGTGGATTAGTTGAAGTTAGAGAATAACACCACTGGATGCCAACCAGCTCAGTGATCTACTGAGTGAAGACACATAAAGTCTTTTAAATGTAGTGATTAGCAACTTAGAAATAGTTACGATGGTTTAAATCACAAACTGACCTTAGTTAAACTATGATGCCTAGCAATCTATCTCAAACCTCAAGATCCTGTTTATATTCCTAAAGGTATAAGTCCTAATGGTCTGAATAGAACTAATTTTTTCTGAAAAGCACCTTGATATTAGTTATAAATCGGCTAAGATTAATAAATGCTCAAATAAATCGTGTCTAATTAGAATAACTAAATTTCAAAAGAATATATTAGTCTGTTAAGTCGGTAGATGTCGGTTCCAGTCGTGCTTTGTCTTATTTTTAACTGCGGAACTAGGTGACTGTGTTTATCCATTTTCAAGTGAACACCATTTTTTACATAAATTTATCAGTTGGTCTGGCCTGATGTATTAGCAACAAACATAAGACACAGGTCAAAACATTTCGTAATCTTTAAATATATTGCTTTCTTCCCTTTGTCTTTTGTTTGTTTTAGACAACTTCATGGTCTAAATTATTGGACACATTGATTATGAATAATCCGTCATTATTCTTAGCTAATATACCACAAAATACTACTATACCAATTAATTCACACGCTAACTGTTTAACGTCTCAATTCGTTGATTCAATCCTACCATTCAATTATTTATTGAATGTACCATATTCATCGACAACAAATGAAATAAACAATACTTTACCAACAGCATTATTTCCTTTAAATCAAGGAATTGAATTACTACCACATGTAGGAATGACAAATACTGTTGAAAGTCAATCTAATATATCCTCCATTAGTTATTCTTCAGCAATTTCACAATCATATGTAATGTCATCGCCCCCATCATCATCATTATTACTATCGAATACACCGATAAATCCAGAGATTCTTCTACAAAACTCTCAATTCTTAATACCAACCGACCATACATTAAATGTGAATTTAAACACTACTACAACAAAATCAACTGTTATAACTACATCAATAGGATCACCAACATCATTATCAACAACAACAACAACAACAACAAACATTGTTTCCATCATTAATTCTACTTAGATAATATTAAGCAAATATAGATTATGGATGAATTTGGTTCAGGGATTTTATTCTCTAATTTTGTTCAATTCATTTGATCATTAATTAAAATTAGATTGTCGTATGAACAAGAAATGTGTAATTAATAAGAAATTTTCGTTTAAATTTGATCGAATTGTTTTAAAGTATTTAAGTGCTGAAATGTCGATATTTGTTTCCTTGAAAAAGCTTGGATGAGATTACCAAGTGAAACGCTAGATCTACATTGAATTTATCCGCTGAGATTTTACAAATGCATTTTTCCACTGAAATAATTCATTATTATAGTGAAAATATTTCGTTAGATGTTTAATAATGACATAATCAACAGTAATAAATTGAATAAAATAAATTTAATATTCCATATTTTAAAATTCTTTAATTGAAACACATCAGTAGGTGAGATCATGAGTCGATTGAAACTCGACTATAATGGTAAACCTGAAAGCACTGGACGGCTCGGCAGTGCACATTCACGAACCAACCTCATGAGATTCGAACCCACGACCTATCAGCCTCCTGCGCGAACGCTTAACCAATTAGATCACTGAGCCGGCTGGCATCCAACGGTATTAATGTTTAACTTCAACTGATCCACGAAATTGAGCGACACATCCACCATTGTCATCAGTGAGTTAATATCTCACAACACACCCGGTTGAACTCCACTGGTCACTGCTTCTCACTAGAACTCCAAGAGATACCTCTTGAAGCCAGTCATTAGTGAGCATGTCTTAATTAATATCACAAAAGCTTTTATGGATATCATAGCAATTTTTTCTAACATATGAGATCATAAGACAATTGAAGCCAGACCACCACGAGAAACCTGGAAGAACTGGACGGCCGTTTTGTTACTATAACATGAACAAAAACCTCCTCTGAAATACAAAGATGAATCAGTATCTATAAATGAATAACAATTGAATATTGTGAAATGATAAAAATCAACATGACTTAAGGATAAGTCATGATAAATTACAGCCCATATTTGATTCCAATTCTTATTATCAAGTACCATATTCAGAAATACTATCATTAAGGTTTTCAAGTTAACAGAATTATCTTACATGACTAGGAGGATGACAATAAATTATTCCTTTGGAATGTAAATATGGTTTCTGAGAAATGGAGATTAACATGAAATTAATGCAATTAGTTCCATTTGATAAATTTCGATAATGGAATATGAAGATGAAGTTTATCAGGATTATGTGATGATATATTAGCACAATACATTTCGAATAATCGGATCACACATTATATAGCTGCAAAGAACATTCATATGTAAACATAAAAAGTCAACTAAACTAGATGTGAAGGGTAAGAGGAGACAAGGTTATTAAAGAAAATAATATGAAAAAAAGATTTGAAACCTGATCACATTGGATAATTAGCTAATATTACCAGAATAGGTTCAAGATGAGAACAAATGGTTTTCGAATACACAAAGGATGTTTGAATTTTCGTATGGTTAAGGCCCTTTCACAATACCACAAAAGCTGAGTTAACATCAATCTGATGACTTGTTCCAATTATGTGTTTGATAATATAGGCTGATGCATGTTCATCACCTACCCATATTGGGTCATTCGATTCTATTTGTTTCTACAACCATTTAGGTACATGTTCACACACTCTAATTTTGAGATCACGATTACTCTTCACAATGTACGTGTGGTCACACACACACACATTTAAATTAATAAACGCAATGGGATGTGACGTAGTCGTTTTGTCGTCTTTTGAGTGTTCGATGCAGTATTAACCTTGTTGTTTCCTTGATAATGACAGTTGCTGCACAATATGTCGTTCTAATGACTGATTTAAGCCTTTGCTTCAATAAAAGGCTATTTCACTCACCTCCAAATGCTAAGGTGATGTAGATAGGCCATTTGTTCTGTCAAGGCTATAGTGGGTCTCACCACACAACGACATTTACATCTATTTACGAATTTTACAGGATGACCATTTTCCATCAATGTTTTGTTTAACAAGCTAACATCGTCGTCAATAGCATGGTTTGTGCAAATACGATCAAGTCTGTTAAATAGGTCCTTGATCAAAACCCGTTTATATTGCACTGGGCAGTAACTATAATAATCAATGTATGGACCTATTCAAATTGGTTTCCTAAACATGGATCGTTTAAATTGAACCGTCTTCTCGTCTACTTATAAGTATATCCAAGAAAGGGAGCTGGTCGTTCTTCTCCTCTTCGCATTATACATTGATGTGATTTTCGACGGTGTTAAGTTTATTCAATAAACAAATCATATCGTTCTCTCTTTCACAGATGATTAAGATGTCATCCACAAATCTCTGATAAAGAAACGTGTTTTCAACCAGGTCTTCAGTTAGATATTCAACATGTATCATCAACACATGTGCTAATAATGGTTCAAACAAACTAGCCATAACAACCCTATCGATCCGGCAAAAGTATTCACTTTCAAATGTGAACTGGACTTTGCCAGTACATAATGGTGGTAAAGCTTTGAGGATTTTCGAAGGAACGTGTAATTTAGGTTTGTTCAAATATATGTAGTCACATAATATATCGATAGTCATTATCAAAGGTACATTTGTGAACAAGGAATTCACATCAAATGAACACATTGTCTTTCGTTTTATATTAATATCATCTCAATGACCGACCGATTCAAAATGATCCCTCAGAGAATACTTAGATAAACACCTTGGGACAGGATCAAGAAATTTTGGTAACCATTTAGCTAGGCTATGTGTAGGTGATCGGTACATTGATAAAAAAGGACGTAAATGAATGTTTTATTTGTGAATTTTCTGTTCCTCTTGATACTTTCGAACAAACTGACATCCAATGAATGTGGCGTCATCTCGAGTAACTCAATTGATAGAAGTTAATTAACTCCAACTACAATATGAAACTGGCCGCCATTATGTGATCAATTAACTTAATATGAAGATTTAGAAACAACTTGAATAAGATATCTAGAATAGATATTGACTATGAATATGGAGTGCTTATATGTATTTGGTAATTGCTAATAATTTAAAATCACTAGGGAAATATAAAATTTCATGAAAAATGTATGGATTTCAATGTATTTGCATAATTTGAGCCTTCTTAAAATTAAAGTCTATTGGGTAACTTGAATTGTTCCACATATTCCAACGTTGCACACTTAAAGCACTTGTCTTGTCAGAGTACTCAGATAATATAATTATTTTCCACTAATACTCTGACAAAATACAGTGTTCCCTTATTTTCGAAGTCTTATGAGTTCTGTTGGGTCGATAACTAGCATAATCTTGGTACGAGTACATTCATCATTCTTTATATTTCATTCATTAACCTTACTGATTTGCTTTAAACTGTATTTCCTGAACTTAAATTCCTACTTCACTTGTCTTTATTTTTAAAAATGCTTTTCAATATAAAAATAAAGAGAATTCAGAGAAGAAAATGTTCTTTTCGACTAAATCATTTACTTAGGCTGTACATTCGTATTTATGGTTGCATAGTAAATATATGAGTCTATTGGAGTATAGAAAAGACTACAACATAAATTGATTCGAGCCAAATAAGGTTACACAATAATCAAGCGGTAAGGAAGGGATATAAGGATGAAAATAATTTATGAGTTAGATTAACAGATATGAAGAAAAACGACAAACATGAAGGCAAAAAAATAAACAAAAATAATAACAAACACATTACATAACATCAAAGCGAAACATGAAAAACCTCGGTTATTATTGTCGGCAGAGAACACCATAGAAATTCTAAAGGTTGCATGACGACAATACTCATAGCAAATCAATCAGAAAAACAACAACACCAACAACGATGCTTTCAATTAAATCAAATGAATGTAACTAAACAATATGAACGAGACTATCTAGTTTATTGTGATGATGTACCATTGAAAATTAACACCTTACAATCATTATTCAATTGGTATAAATTGAAAGCAACAGAAAAATAGGAAGGTGTAGAGAAGAAGCCAAAGTAGATGCATAACTCACTTATTAATTATTATTGTCATTATTATTATGATTATGATTATTATAGATGGTTGGATGAATGATTTGCTTATTCTCCTGTTTTCTGTTTCGCCTTCCATTTCTATTTGTGTAGTTGATGAACTTCAGCTATTTACACTTGATGGAAATAATTGGTTTTATGTAGATAATAGTATAGTGCAATAGGTGAGAGATAATAGTACTGACGCAATGAATTAGTCACTTATTTACTTGCTTACATATTTATGGACTGTGGTGCGTGCTACTTATATTCATATAAGTAGTCTATTATGCGAGTCAGGAATGTAATGTTTGGCAGCAGAAGATGAGAGAAGATGAAGAAAGCAAACGCGGGAGTAGAATGCAATTTGTATGAAAATGTAAGAACAATGAAGTGTGAGTCATTTTGAGACAATTGGTGGACATTTTGCAAATGATCGATTTAATATAAAGTTGTCAGATTCTATTGAGATGCTCTGTAATTTTGTGTCAAATGTATCCGTTTATCCTCACTCGTGTTCTGTACACTACAGTACTTGTGGCTAATACCGCCAATCGAGCATCGGTCATCGACCACAATTCGCAAATCCAATCAGTCCAGCTTCTTTATCATCTTGCTCTAACACAGAGTTATTTGAACATCGTCTGTGCTTGTGGGACGAACAGCACCATCACCAATCTACTGGTTGTCTGATGGAAATACTCATAGCAAATCAAACACATAAACTACAATAACAACAACAATGATTGTTTCATTTAAATCGAATGAATCTCACTAAACAACATGATCGAGACTATCTGGTTCATTGTGATGATGTACCATTGAAAATTAACACCTTACAATCATTATTCAATTGGTATAAATTGAAAGCAACAGAAAAATAGGAAGGTGTAGAGAAGAAGCCAAAGTAGATGCATAACTCACTTATTAATTATTATTGTCATTATTATTATTATCATCGATGGTTGGATAA